TGTGGCAAAGCTTTTAACCAGTTCTCAACCCTTACTATACATAAGAAAATTCATCCTAGCGAGAAACCCAACAAATGTGAAGAATGTGGCAAAGCCTTTAAGTACTCCTCTACCCTCACTACATATAAGAGAATTTATACTGGAGAGAAACCATACAAGTGTGATAAATGTGGCAAATCTTTTATTGCATCCTCAACCCTTAGTAAACATGAGATCATTCATACAGGAAAGAAACCCTACAAATGTGAAAAATGTGGCAAAGCCTTCAACTGATCCTCAATCCTTACTACACATAAGAAAATTCATACTGGAGACAAACCCTACAAATGTGAAGAATGTGGCAAAGGTTTTCACCTATCCTCACACCTTACTACACATAAGATACTTTATACTGAAGAGCAACCCTATAGATGTAGAGAATGTGGCAAAACTTTTAACCATTCCACAACCCTTTTTTCACATAAGAAAATTTGTTCTGGAGAGAAACCATACAAGTGTGATAAATGTGGCAAAACCTTTATTTCATCCTCAAACCTTAGTAGGCACAAAGTAATTCATACTGGAGAGAAACCCTACAAATGTGAAGAATGTGGCAAAGCCTTCAACCGGTCCTCACACCTTAGTAGACATAAGATAATTCACACTGGAGAGAAACTCTACAAGTGTGAAGAATGTGGTAAAACCTTTACCTGGTCCTTAAGCCTTAGTAAACATAAGAAAACTCATATTGGAGAGAAACCCTACAAATGTGAAGAACATGGCAAAGCTTTTAACCGGTCCTCAGACCTTAATAAACATAAGAGAATTCATATTGGACAGAAAATCTACATAGTGAAGAATGTGGCAAAGCTTTTAGATGTTTCTCATACCTTAATAAGCATAAGATAATTCATACTGGAGAGAAACCCTATGAATGTGATGAATGTGGGAAAGCCTTTGACTACCCCTCAACTCTTACTAAATATGAGAATTTATATGGAACATAAACCTTACAAGTACAAAGAATGTGACAAAGCTTTTTAAGAAAGTTCTCAATGCATATTAAAACAATGAATTTATAAGTAATTAACTTCTAACTACAGAGGATTCTACTATACTGTAATTCAAGATTAAACTGTAAACACTTTAACATGAATATTTCTTGAATGCATGATTGGTTATGTAGATAGTTTCTTTTAGATTCATGTGACCAATGTAATAATTAGAGAAAACATTTGAAATGGGATAAAATCAATCAAAATCACATCTTTTCAATGGCTTGGCGTAATTGCCATGCGTTTGGAAATGGCCAGATGACTAACAAGAAACAAAGACAAGATTTTGGCTTTGCTCAATCATTGTTTTTGACCTCTTAAAATCTGAAATCCTGGCTAAAGTATTCAAAGGGAGTATTTTATAGGTGAATTCCTAGGGTTTCAAAGGCAATGAGGGAAGAATTTTGATAGGCAGGAAAATTCACACTATATATACACATTGCTCTTCTCTGATTTGCTTGAACACTGAAAAAGTGAAGATTGTAAATGTAGACTCAGAGTAAATTAACAAAAGATTTGTTTTTCAAAAAACCGAATGTATAAAATAATAGGTAACAGATGCCATTAGCTGCTAAAAAACAGTATGACTAAATTCAGTAAGTATCTAGCCATGCAAATAACAGCCCAATTAAATGAAGACCCGAATAGGTGCATGTGGAAAGCATTGCTGTACAGTGTTTTCTCAGCATTTCCTTCTGCCTCTTTACAGAGATACCAATTTGCCCTGGGTGACTCAGGATGCATACTGGGAACTGAGAATGCTGTGTTCTCAGTGATTACTGAAAACATGGTTAATAACTTCTTCCATATCATAATAAAATGTTATAAATCTTACTCTGCCTCAGAAAAGCTTTCAGTAAAAGATTATCTATAGTACTCAATTTGGGTTCGTGGAAAATTTCAATATTCCAGATAATTCAGATACTTAAATGTCAAGGAAATCCCATAAAACATATTTGAACAACATACAGTCATCTTAGCGAAGAATTTTATATTACCAGTAAATTTAGAAAAAAATAGAAAAATAGTACTTTAAGCCAAATAACTGTTTGACTTGTGAGTCGCACCGAAACATGCTACTTCATGATCATCGTTAAAGTAGCAATAGCACCATGTGCTTTCCTGGGACCTGCTGTCCTGTTTTCCATTCACATAAAGTGAAGAAGGTATTGAAATGGCAAAGGAGGGTGATATAAATTGAATACTTATATGAAATAAAATTTTAAATATAAAATAGCATTTGATGTTATACAAGCATAGCTGAGACTGTGTGAGGTTATATTTTTACTTACATTGACAAAATAACCATTAGCAATATTCTTATTTAGAATAATATTTCTTTTATGCTGTATATTTGCTAACTTTTGATCAAATATTATGGGAGCTCAATAGAAATTTAAAAAATGAATCTATTTTACCATTATTGATGCACATGCTCATTTTTCTAAAAATCTATTAGCGTTTTATAAAATATTTATACTTTTTTTCAGTTTATTGCTGAGAAGAGGTTTTCCTGCCAGAAAACTGCTATTCTCAGCTATAACCACATTGACTAATATTGAGAAGTGAAGTGGATAAAAGGCAAATGTGTTTTCTCTGTATCTTTTTTCATCCATTGGCTGAAAAACAGGAGGATGCAGAAGATGAAAGAAAATATAATCCCTGAAAGATCTTGAAGAAACTTTCTTAACCAGACAAAAAACCCCATGGGGGATTTTTTTTTTTTTTCATTATTGTACTCTCTGCTTCTATGAGTTTAGATGTTTTTACACTTTACATAGAAATAAACCTAGGCTTACACAGAAAGAAACCTAGGCTTTTGGCCGGGTGTGGTGACTCATGCCTGTAATCCCAGCACTTTGAAAGGCTGAGGCGGGTGGATCACCTGAGGTCAGG